ATGGTCTGCATGTCTGGAAGGTACCTCGTTGGCGTGTGGGTACTGCGCTGCAGTTCCGCTTGGGCAAACAAGGACTCTGGGGGCTTTGGTAGTAGGTTTGCCTAGTTTTAAGGGTCAGCTGGGTCTGCCCCGAGCACATCCAGGGAAAGGGATGATTTGGGAAATGCAATCTCAGGAGGATTTCACTGGACAGCTGTGGGCACAGTGGAGCCTGGGTTCCTGCCCCTTGCCACTGGAAGTTCTGCAAGTCCATGGAAGTTTTCATTCCTGTTTATTTTGGTGGGAAAGCTTAGGCCCAACTCAGAAAGCATGGGTAATCTTGGTAGGAGACACCTGATAACAGTGGAAGTGAGCAACCGGAGAACAATAAATAGGGAAGAAGAGAGCTCCTCAGTCATCTGCTCCTCAGGTATCACATATAGCTCGAGGGCTGAACCTTGCTGCCATAGGGCACAGACCTGCAACCCGTCTCCTCTGAGCGTTTCGCTGGAGCAACCCTCTCCCAAGCAGCAAATAACAAATAGCAAGTTCAGACACTTTGGTCCGTGAATAGATACTCTCGCATACGGAGACCTGCTGGGATGTAAAGCAAAGCCATTCCTCCCAGTACTAGTTTGCACAACTCCTGGACGTCCATCCGTTGCTGCGTGGATGGGGGTGTGAGACTAGGTCAAAGTGAAGCATTGGGCCAGTTGCCTATGGCTGCTGGGGGGCTGCAGAGCTCTGCCTCTGGGAGCCAGGGGACTAAAACAACTCTCAAGATAAAGCCAGCCAAGAGACACCATGAATTAATTTATTTGGCTCACTGGCACTCTTCTTGCAAGAGGTAGGATTTGGCCTCAATACAGCAAGGAAACTGAAGTGGTAATAGGGCGCTTTGAGAAATCATGCTGTGCCCTGCTCTGAGGATGCAATGAGTGACTTACATAATAGGCTAGCAAGAGTATGGAAAGATGAGATATCTGAGCCTATTCCACTAGAGCTTCATTACATGAAAATGCACTTTTTTAAGATCTGAAGGATTTCTTTTTCCTTCCCTGCCCTCACTGAGTTCTCTGTGAATTGAGCATTGCAGTGGCTTTTACTGTAACCATTATAATCATTTTCCAGTGCTAATGTTGTGGTTTTAATGAAAGGAAACAACAAATGGGGTATCGACTCATATACACAAATCTGCACTTCATTTGCACAAAATAGCTTCTGGATGGCTTTCCTCCATGTTTTTGGTCAACACCACTCTCTTTGAGAAATGATCAATGTCTACAACTGTTTGCTCTTCCACAGATAAAGCAGATGCTATTCATTACTGTCTTTGCCATGCATATATTGCTACTTTCCCCAAAGCAGCCACTGTGGGTCATGTGTTTATTTTTTTTTAATATCCTTTTGTTCTTAAATCACTACACTTTTGCTTTCAGGATATGATGAATGATTAATACTGTAGCAGCATTATTGAATTAGGAAAGTCAGTGGCAGCTTCCAAAATTATTGAGACAACCAACAAATAAATACAAACCACTTCTTCAGAGTTAGTTAAAGTGGAACAGTGTGATGGTGTCAAGATAAGCAGGGATAACTGATGTGAGTGCTTTTAAAGCTTTAGGACAGACTTGCAGTAACTGAAATGTAAATCATAGCAGCACTGATAACAATGCAGATATCTTGAGAAATGTTGCAGTGAAGTAAGTGCACCACAAACACTCTTAAGGCAAACTTAGAACTGATGGGGGCATTTGGAGGGAATTTTTTTCTTTAGGAGGTTACATGACCCTAAAGAAAAGAGTTATTGGTGGTTTTACTGTTTGGGTTTATTTAAAGAATAAAGATTTGGAGTCGGATGCTGAAAGGTAGGTGTTCAGCACCTCCCAGGGATTAGAGCCAACAGCATGAGCAATGACTCACCAGGAAAGGAGAGAGATTATAGATTTATGGAATAACCCTTTGCAGTCACCACTGGAATATTTGCAGCCTGGTTTGTAAGTAGAGGTAACCCATTGTTCATGGCAATATTAGAAAAAGTAATATGATAAAACTCCAGCTAAATGGGAGTTTGTATGACACAGGAAAGCAGGATTAAGTTCATTTTCCTACTTTCATGCAGAGAATGTTCTCTACAGGCTTCCTAAGAAAGCCCTCCAGGCTTTCTACATGGCCCTGTCCCTCACATGGTTCTTCACAACACAGTGCAAGGGTGAACAGTTAAAACCACTAAATACAGGACCAGTGAGGTTTAGACTAAATGGATGTGCCCCCTCAGGTGGCATCTACCGGCCCTGAGTTTCAGATGGCAATGGTCCTCTAGCTGCACCCTTTCCCTGAAAATGCCCTTGGTGTGCATTAGGAGAGGAAAGGAAAAGAAAGCCGTGCACTGCTCATCAGGCTGATGCCATGCTGCTGCACTGGGTAGTCCCACCTTAGCATACCCACCAGGAATGCAAAGGAAGCAAAGAGCACAGCCCAGAGTAGTGACCCATCAAAGTGACTGCAGACAAGGCATGTATGACCACTCAGTTGTGCAAGCACTTGGCTTTAAAACTGCTTTATACAAAAATGAAGGACTGAAAAGGGCATGAGATAGTGAAGAATAAGCCTCAGCATCTCCAGCTCTTTCAGTTTGCAACCTGAAGGGAGAAATCTCTGCAGATGTGGCATTGTGCACTGTTTGACAGCAGCAATAATCATGGCATTCCTCACCAGGGACTGCTCCTAAGCACTCTGCAAAACTTTCTCCCTCACTAATTCTTTTTCTTGTGATTCTGTTTAGCATTTCTACAGATATCAAGAGACACATACTAGTTCCTTAAGGGTACTTCTGGAAATAAAGGGCCTCTTTATTGAGTGCTATAGTGCTATATGCTTTCTTGATGTTAAAATCTTTTTTTCTTTGTTTTCTTCAACAACTTGTTCCTTATTAGAGCTGGGTGGGAAAAAAAGGTTTCCCAGCAGAGTTGCAGATCTTGCAGTTTCAAGAAGGTTCCCGTTCCTCTTCAAGACGCCACTTTTCAAATAAGGCCTGATGCAGCTTTTCTTGCTCAAAGCGGTCAATAGCCATGGATTAAGATACCCACAGGAGCTGCTGGAGAACTGTGTTCAAATTATTTCTGTGCAGAAGTAAGAATAAAGGCTTGTTCTAGTCCAGGACCAACTCAGTACCTTGGAGGAGGGTGGGGTGCTTTTGTTCATTTCCCTGGTTGAAGTCGCGTCACTTTGTACAAGTAATGACATGTTAACCTGACAAGAAATTTGGACTCCAATCTGCACCTCCCAGCAGAGTGATCTAATCCCTGGACTATCAACTCAGGTTCTTTCACTCTCTTGCCTAATGACTGTGTCGTTATTTATGCAAATTGAAGCAGCTCCAAAAGGAGAAATTCTCATTTTGAAATAGTCAGTAGCCCAGAGCCACCTATGCTGTGGGGCTGACATTCGCATCCCTGAATCAATCTGAAGAGACTATGGCCTTAAATGCGGTCTGCTGTTTTGCAGCTAAACATCCTACTGGGAGTTACTGGCTGCCCTGAGGCAGCAAACAAAGAGGTTTCTTTCTTTGACCAGACACTCCATTCTCATGGCACCAGTGTACATCTTCCCATGGTGAGCCTGGGGTTTGACAGATCAGCACTTTCTGATTGGGGGACTTTTTGTCAGAAAGCTCACGGCCATCTTTGTTCCCTACCACCTTTATCTGTAGATCCTCGTTAGGTTCCTCCATCTGCAAGTCTTCATTTTTCAAAGAATGTTTTGTTAAGTTGGTTTAAGGAAAATATTAGAGGCTTTTTCATCTATCTTTCTACAGGATAGGCTGTGCCTTTACTTTCAGCCATGTGAAGCGTCAGCTTGCAGCCATACTAACCCAGCTGTGACTCTAGAGAGAAAAGTCCTCTCTTCATCTCCCACCACCAAGAGGAAGCAAACTGCTGAAGATATGTCAGGTATTATACATATGTTACATCTCACCAGCTGAACAAGGGTACCTAAAGTACTATGGGGAGAGATTGAGGGTTCCTTCCATGTGATTAAGTAAACGATAAATATGGGTGGGGGATGATCCCATCAGGGGAAAAGGTAAAGAATGGTGGTAACTGCTTGAGACCCACAAAAGCCATCGAATCAAACAAAATCTTACCCCATAATAGACCTGTCCACCTTTGCTATGTTTCCTCCCTTCATGTGGCAAAGCTTGTGTTTGGCAATCTCCACTTTTCTTATGCTTGTGTCAAAAAGACGGAGGGAAGGGGCTCTCAGAGCAGGCAGAGTTCAGCTACATTTTCCCCTTCCTTCAGGCTCACTGCTGCTTTGATGCTGCAGCTACAGAAAATCTCTGTAAATTCTTTTGTCCTCAGAATGAAGCTTCCCACTGCTAGCCTTGGTAGATACAGAACATCCTGCCTGGGCAAGAGCTCTTCATGGATGTTTCTAGTACTCAGAGGGAGAAGGGAAAAAAAGCAACAAACTACAGCAAGTTTACAGTAATTGCTTTAATGAGCAAAGCCCTTTAGAATGCAAACACGCTCAACAATATACAAAGGAATAATCAAAAATAAAGTGTTTTATACAGGCTGTTTTATAAGAAGGTAATAAAAACAATTGTATGGCACACTCAGTTGCATAAACAGGCTCACCATGGAAGGTGTTTGTGTGAGAGCAGGACTATGAATACTTAATTGCTTCCATTATTCTTATTTTCAGTACAAAATACTGCAATCAAAACTGAATCTGTGGCTTGATTCTTAAATAAAAAGGTTATATTCCAGTTCCTTTGTTGCAAGTATAATAAAACAGTCTTTCTGTTAAACGCTATTTCATTTCTTACTGTTTCTAAGAAGTTATAACAGTGATTAATATCTACATCACTGTCAGTTTCAAAACATTTTTCAACGGTAGGATCATTATTCCTCTTCAGATGATACACAAAAGACCAAAGTGATCAAAATGTCTTCATTAATGATGTGATTAGAAGTATGGAAGCCTTTGGTGAGATCCTTCTACGGATGCCAATCATCTTTGAACCAAGCCCTATAAGCAATGCAGAATTCAGATTTATTTTCATTCACACATCTGTTCCAATAAGCCCGATGATTACAAAGGAACAGTATAAGAAACATATTTAGGGATCTCAATAAGTTGCAAAGTAAAAAACCAAAAAATGCCACCGATTTCCCAGTATCTTTCAAGAACTATAAATTAATCAGTCAGAAAGCTTATATGAATTCAAATACTCTCTGGTGTGTCTGGAATGTTGTATCCTACATCTACTGTTTATTTATGTTAATATGTGCTGCTACACTTGTGCTTCAATGGCATCTAGACCATAGTTAGTTTCAAATACTTAGACATAAGAACTTTTTTTCCTTTGACTTTTCACTTTAATAAGAGGTACAGAACTATCAAAAGTCCTGTTGTGCACATAAAATGAGTAATAGGTTTGAAAAGATCTAGGAAATAAGATTGTCTTATACAAGAAAATGAATATCTTGATGAAAAAATGTTCATTACTGGTGTGTATTTTACAGACTGAGCACATTGCTGTAGAATTACATAACAGGCTAATACCAGAAAGACCAGAGTCATTCCCTTGCCTTTAATTTGCAAATACATGTCTCTAGGAAACCAAAGATGAGTTCTGGTTTCAAACTAATGGCACAGCATGACTTGAAACTTGATATTTGTTGCTCATATGCATCTTAATTTACACATTTAATTGAAAGAATCTTCTGCTATAATCGATAGTAAGCAAGTAGCATTTTTTCAGTACTGCAGGCCTATGCTAGTTCCTTGCCTAGAAGTTGTCCGACTGTTGGACTTTCTGTGTTACAGCATATCTGACAAATAAGAAATGTTTTACAGATAGCATAACGCTATCAGGAATCAAGTGGGTACTATCAAATGTTTTCTGCTCACTATTTCATTATAACATTTTAAGACTTTATATCACCAAAATCCTGCAATAGTTCACATGAAGATAAAATTTTTGGTAAGAAGGAAGCCTTTATTTCCCTTGTGCTAGAGAAAATAACAGTTTTTAACAAGCTTGCATCTCACTACAGTAGAACTACTGCCCAAGTAAACAGAGCACACCTAACTAAGGTAATGAATATTTTAAAATGCCTATGACTCGCATGAGGAGTAAAGACCTTCCTATGATCAAATGTTGATCGGGTCACAAGTCTTATAGCAAGAGCAGCCTTTCTACCCACTCAGTTTCATGGTGCTCAGGGAGCCATGAGCTCCCAAACACCGACTGTTGATCTTTCAGTAATGTATCTAATCCTCTTAGATGTCAGAACCGGATTGTTTGCTGGCACCAATCAGTCTGCAATTAAGGCCATGAGGACATATTCAGGAGGAACATGTATATATGTATGCAGAGGTAGATAAAAAGAGGAATTTTACACACATATACAGAGGAATTAAGGTACACATATTCATGTAATATATATAAAGCAACGGACATATATATTAGGATGAATGCTTATACATATTTTAAGACTATATATACACATATACATACATTCATACATACACACACACACACACACACACACACACACCTGCTGGCCAAAACAACTTTGATAACTTAAAACAAATATCTTGATTCACTTAATAGTTTATCTTAAGCAAGGCAAATTATAGTTTCTAACCTCCCAATATATGGATGTCCAGAATTTAGTTATGAAAAGAATCAAATAAGGATCATAATCATACCACTTTCCCGTTGATGTTATTCATCTTAGCAAAGAATTAATAATGGTACTCAAGACCAAGATTTTTGCTTGCAAAGTAAATGGGTTTCTAGGTTCAGATTACACATTATGGAGAGAGATCTAGCACATAAATCTGAAGTTTTCAGAAGCAATCCAGTCCACACTTTCCTCCTAGTGTCAATTTTTTCAAGGTTCAGAAAATAAGTCTGCAATCCAAAATCCAAGTATACTAATATGATCTATAATATGCTACAGAAATTGAACTGAAATAATAAATCACGCAGTCTAATAAGGTAGATGGGCGTCTGGATGAGCGTGCTGAATGTCATCTGCCAGTAGAAACGGCCATCAAGATCAACAAGTCTACCAGTGGCAGACTGAACTGATTCCAAAGTTACTGATGAGCTAACACCTCCTTGCGAGGACATGTGAAGAATAGCCAGGAACTAATAGCAAGCAGCTTTCAGTAAGCAGGTGTGATATTACCCAACCCTGAAACTACTCAGCGAGGCTTGGTGAGATGCCACCACACGATGAATTGAGTCATCCTAAATGCTTTGGCTCCAAGGTCCCAAAGTAGAGCTTTGCCAATGTGTAAGTTTGTTGTCATAAAGAATTTATCATGTTTTCCTTCTCAGTACCTCACTGTCTGCCGCTCCTTATAGAAATCAGAGGAAAGTGAAAGCCGCCCTAGATAAACTAGACACCATTCCTTTAACTCCCTACTCCTTTGGTTTCCCCTTCTCTTAGAAGCTGTCTGTATTTGAAGCTCAGTTGAGTTCCTCTGCTGGCCTGTCTCCTTTTAATAGATATCCACCTACGTTGCCTAATAACTGGGCGTTATAATTTTGGAGGGGCCTCCCTCTCTCCAGGCCAGTTAACACCTTCACAGTGATGCTCACCACTGCAGCTCCCTCTGTCCACATGCTGCTGAGACACAGTACCAAAAAAATGCTGGTGACTGCCATGTACACGGGTACTGACAGGGGTACTGACGGCAGGTAGCAGCCTGTTGCGTTACAACAGTCAGTGATCAGTTTTATTAAGGGCCTCAGTACAGCAAGAAACAAACTAGAGATGTTAGTGCACTGAGTTTTGGCTTGTTTCGTATTGCTGATTATGTATGTTAAATAGTAGATAAAATATCATTTGGAAGCAAATCTGAAGTCAAAGCCAGATGCCCGACTTGGCATTCCATGACATACTGTGTTAGCAAGGACACCTCAATCCCATCTCATAACTCTCTCCCTTATTGAAAGAGACTGCACGCTGGGTAAACCCACAAGCAAGTGCTTTACAAAGCGCAATGATCCAAATCTTTGGAAGGTGCAAATTATCACAGTAACTATGGTCAATCCTCATTTCCAACAGCTAAGGGTCTGGCTCTCTGCCTCAGTTTTTATCATACCTGCTTTGGATAAAGTTGCTTACTGAAGAAAAGAAGGCCACTTCCTTACAAGAAATGTTGCCCAACAGCAGTTTATGTCATACGCTATCTGGAAGCCATTCTGTGAAACATTGTAATAATTGCTTTTCCTGGACTTATTAGTAGCAGCTAAAGTTAACAGATTGTAAGACTGCCCGAAGATGATGGATGGTTTTTCTCAGGATGTAGATTTCTGGTCATTTTCCATGGCAGCTGTAAATTTAAAAATAATAATATGAAGTTAAGCAGTGGTAGACTAGAATTCACAAATAATACACAGCTACTGACTTGATCATTAATCATCCTAAATTAAAGTGTTACATATGATGAGCCAGATTCTGCCCTAGGGTATATATAAAAGCTTCTCATTGATTACAAAGGAGAAATTGCACATGTATATGAATGCAGAATTTAGCCAACTGTTTGTTTAGTTAGATTTTTTTAATTATTATTTGAGGGAGGCAGAGGGGGGTCTGTTTTACAAATCCCCTTTCATATTAGTTATCTAGAAGAATATGGTCAAGAACCATCATTCGATTTATACTCCACATCCCAAATTATTGCAACAATATCGCTAATTAATTTCAAAGTTGAAGAGCACCAATGTCCTCTGGAATTCAGGAATCATTTGATCTGTCTGATGTCCACTTTTGAGGTTGCTGCTGTCAAAAAGGGATTTGTTACTGGACAGAATGAAAATTTTTACCAAACACTGAAATTCCTCCTAGGTTAAAATGCCTTTTTTTTCCCCACACTTTTTCCTAATTTACCCTGTTAAATTATGATGAAAACATGTATTTATCTAAGCGTCTTCTTCAGATGAGTAACCAGAGAGGATCTGCTAGATATATGCAGGTTAAAAAAACAAACCAAAACAATCACCCTCTCCTTGTGCAATTCAAATCAGAGTTATATGAAGAAGTCTTGCATTCAGAGATACCATAATGATTCCTCACTTTCTCTACAGAATCTGGAGGTCTTCGAAACTGTAATATCTTCAGCAAGGTCATGGAGGTACACTGACTTTTACCCTGTAAACATGTACTTCCTCACAGCTCTTTTTGTACTATCCTAACACTGCTATGCTAATTACATAGTAGTTAAACTGCTTTAAGGCATATTTATGTTGTACATGCTGTTAGTACTAATATGTATCAGCTACAGGACTGAGTTTTTCAGCATTACTAACTTAGTCTTATATTTAATGTCTTTCAGACTCTAGGTACGATACCGGATAGTAGTTACACTGTAAACAACTTATTTGAATGCTAACTACAGAATCCTGTTATCAGTAGGTTTTCTCAGGGCTGATTTACTTCTGTTTATCCACAGGGTTTGGTAATAAATACATATATTTTGGGGCTCTAGGTACATTAAACATACTGAATAGTCAAGGCTTGGAGAAGCTAATTTCCTTGTCATTACATTATAGTTAAATTGGTTATGCATGTCTCATTCAATTATGTAACTTGAAGAACTGCACAGGCTCTTGATTTCAATAGCACATATACTGGTTTTAGCACTTACAGTGGATAAGCTTTAGTATGAGACAACTAAACTTATCACGCTTTGAAATTCACAGCCACAGTTTAAAATGTAATATTATCTTTGTCTGTGTGAGCTGTTATTGGTTTTACCTTTTACACTTTTTGGATATATACTACAATATTTTGTTCAAACCAAAGACTGAAAGGTAATTCACACTTAACTCATGCAGTTAAATATTTATGTTATCAGATCCTCTATGGGTATCAGCTTAGTGCAGTAGGTATCCAATCATGGAAAAAAAAAATATGTGCAATACACTAAGAAACTATTTTCTGTTGCATCCTGATGCGTAGAAAGTGCCAGACTTACTATAAAGTCTTCTTTAATGGAACTTCTGTAATGACCTTTGTGCTATGTTAAAGACACTCAGATACTTCAGTAATACAGCAGGAACCAGGTGGAAGGAAAAGTTAAATTAATAGTCACAGAAATTGACATACTATTATGATTTTAGCATTGTGCAATAGCAATAAAGCATATAGCAAATGGATTAAAAATTGGCTGACACATCTCAAAAAACTAGGCATCAACTGGGATTTGAGACTGAATGGAGGTTCCCTTGGGTTCTGAACAAGGCCTAATAGCCGTTAGCAATTTCACCAAAGGTCATGTATCCCTACATATCCCTACATATCCCTACATATCCCTACATATCCCTAAATAAAAATCTTTGGATGGCATGAGTTTGGCAGGGTGGTATACAAGGATGAGGACAGGGCAGTCAAACATAAATTGAGAATACTACAGGAAAGAACCTCTAAATTTTTGAAAGGATAACTCCTTACAGTAAAAATATGAATGCATTCCATCTGTTTAGTTTATCAGAAAGAAGATAGGAGGAGGTGAGTTTCATGCATAAGTAATTCACAGGGAGGAAATACCGGCTAAGAAAGGACTTTTCTGTCTAGCACAAGAGCCAGTCAAGTCAAATAAACTGAAATTGTAAGCAAGGTGCCTTCTTAAAAATAAAGGTGCTTATACGTTGGAAAAAACTATCAAGGGGTATACCAGATCCTTTCTATGATCTCATAACACCAAGACTAAGAGGCTTTTGGAAGACATGCTTTAGCCAAACACAGAATTTTGTATTTAATATGAGAATAACTGGAGTCAGTGTAAAGATGTATGAGCAGGGAAAGTCATCATATTCTATGAATCTGAATCTGTGCAAACTTACCAGAGCCAACATTTCCTCATCTCTGTGTCTCAGGAGAAATGAAAAATATCTTTCTGTCCTATTTGCCTGGGGTAGAGATCAAGCAGCATTTTGCAAGGTTGGATTACATTTGCACTCTAGAGGTTTTTTTTCTTAATTCATATTCAGTTACTCATTTAGACAATTGCTTATTAAGAACTGTCTTCTAAAGATGTGGATTATCATTGTTTAATCATACCTTAAGGGATATTATGAAAGAAAAAGTTTATCAGACATTTAGAAAGTGTGACAAAGTCTACAACACAATTTGTCATGCAACACTACAAGCTGCTAGACATAGAACAGCCCTTATTCGTTAGATACAAACCTCAGGTAAAATTCAGTGAAGAAAGGAACTAATCTTGGTTTAGTAAATATTTACAGCAACTACTCATGAAAATACCACCACCATGTATTCTTTGAATTACATGGTGGCATAAAAGTGTACCTCACTATTAATTTTTAAAATATTTAGAACCACAGCATTTCTTCAAATACTTTCTGCTTCTGTCAAATAATGACAATAATTAACTATCAGTAGCCTACTCTCCCCTCTTCCATTTGATAGCATATTGTCTTTTACCTCCTGGAAATGTGCTGAGCCAGTTACATTAGCAAAAACAGAGAGTAAATTCATTCAGAACAACGTGACTAAAAGCCGAATTTGCCTGTTTGCTTTTACATGGTTAGAACAAAAGGTTCCATTGCTGTTTTTATAGCTAAATAGCATTTTATAATGAGTTCTGAAATTTTGGGGAAAATCGGATTACAATGTTGGTTTAACATCAGACACTCTATTGTTTACATGTCGGATCACTGTGATGTCCAGTCTGTGAAAAACTTAGTTTTTCTTTGGATATTAAAAAGGTCACTGAAGTAATTCACAAAGAGCTCGAGCTTCAGGAAAGAAATCTGAAAAACAAACACTGTTAAAGATTGGGCAGATACGATTATGTGGCTGACAATTACATATGATAACAATCAAAATGATCTGATTCCAACCACATGGCATCTTAACACAGCAGATCCCCAGGCAAACAACATGTCACATAATAGGTTTTGATTGATGTTGTCAGCAGCCTTTTGAATCTTATAGATACCTTCCCACCAATGCCTCAGAAATCAGTGGAGACTAATGACCTCATTCTTAAATAAAACTACTGGTATGAACCTAGATATGGTCTCTGTTTTTAAAATTCTTGTTTTACTAGATGATTAGATACATGTCTACATGGTGCCCATGGTGCTGCTTATTTCCAGTTGCAAATAACTTAGCTGGTATATACATTAGTGGGAACCCTAGTGAAAACCCTAGATGTCATTTTCTGAGAGGTCTTTTGGTTACCTGTCAGTACAGCTCTGGAAAGATTTGTGTGATTACAACCCAGCTGAAGCACTCCAAACAATTGCTGAAGCCCATGTGTTGGTTGGCATAGGGGACCTAACCAGAGAGCCTAAGCAGCTGCCAAGGAGCTGCCGCTCCGAGCAGCATGAGCCTACTCTACCGCCAACTTTAATTTGTGTTAAAAAAAAATAGGGATGAGTTAATGATTGCTAAACCAACAAATCATCCCCCTATTGGAGGACCCCCAGAGGACATTCTGTCTCCAGTGGTGATATAACCAGTAAGCAAACGCGTTGTCACATTGCCTAGAATGGACACACAAAAAGCAGAGAGGATCTGACCAGGAATTCTGAGTATTTTCATGGTACCAGTCTCCACACATGTTCTTGGCTCAGCCTCCTGCTCCCTGTTTTCCTCTAGATCAGCATAAGAGCACAGCCCAAAAGCTACTCTTCAGATCCATGATGCAATTTTTATTGTTTCCTTCTGTATATTGTTAAGCAGGAAGAGAAACATAATGCCTTAAAAACAAATTGAAGAATAATACCATACATTTGTTAGAAGGATAGTTTTTGCTACCATTGTTGTTTAAAAAAACATCTGTTTTGGCATCTAAATCATGATTGCAACATCTCAGCTGGAAAACAGCTGTCACTTATAACCATGGCTGCAATGAACACAGTTCTCCCACTGTAGCCTGTGGAGACCAGGTCTATAAGACCACGCTGAGAATTAAGGTTCAGTTAAGACATTGCAACTGTTTTGTCAGTGGTGCCCAAGGTCAGTAAAAATTGTATGCATTATTCAATTTATGTATTATTCAAATCAGTTTCACTGGTCCAACAGGCTGTGCTACCCAGCGACAATTCAGGATCTTCTGCGTTAGAAACATACAGGATTTTGTAACCAGTGCACTGTAATTTTTACCCATTCAGTATAATAGATCACACTAAAGATTAAGATATAAATGAAGTAATAACCCTCATGAACAGATAATGCAACACAGCAGTTACTCACAATACCCACCTCAGTCATAAATGTTATGTTCTTAGTTAATAGTTCTACAGTGTATGTCACAGCTTTATCGAAATGGCCTTTCCAGTAAGTAACAGCCATTTGACTGCA